GGGTCTTGCTATGTTGCCCAGGCTGGTCTCCAGCTCCTGGGCTCAAGCATACCTCCTGCTTTGGCTCCCAAAGTGCTGGGATTATAGGCGTGATCCACCACACCTGGTCTTCTTCTATTATTTTTATTTTTAAATTTTTATTTTTATTTTTATTTTTATTTTCATTTTATTTTTTTTGAGACAGAGGCTTGCTCTGTTGCCCAGGTTGGAGTGCAGTGGCACAATCTCGGCTCACTGCAACCTCCACCTCTTGGGTTCAGGCAATTCTCGTGCCTCAGCCTCCCAAATAGCTGGGATTACAGACATGTACCACCACGCCCGGCTAATTTTTGTATTTTTAGTAGAGACAGGGTTTCGCTATGTTGACCAGGCTGGTCTTGAACTGTTGACCTCATGTAATCCTCCTACCTCGGCCTCCCAAAGTGCTGAAATTACAGGCGTGAGCCACCACACCCCGCCATTATTTTCATTCCAAATTCCTGATAGTACCCAGCCATGAGCCTGTGGTAGGTCTTTAATAATTATTTGCTGGGATTAATTACAATAACCTAGACAACAGCCTTGGTATGTAGCAGGTGCTCAACACAAGACTTTTTCCTTCTTTCCTTCCTTCTCCCTCAGCTTCTCCAGCGGGATCCAGCCACTCCTCTGTTCCCTGATTGGCCTGGAGAATCCCACCTGACCCCCCACCCCACCCCTCTGTCTCTGGCTGGGGTTCCTTTCTGGCCCAAAGTAGGTCCAGGCCCTTGGAGCTATTTCGCCACCTGCTGTACATTGTGGGAACTGCAACCCCTATGTGCCCGGTTGGGTGGAGAGAGAGAAAACATTTTCCCACCAAGCCTGTGCCGAACGCATTCTGTGTGCACCCAGAAGATTCCACACTGAGTGGGACCTAGTCCTCACCCTCAGGGAGGCCACAGTTAGTAAAGGAGACTGACGTGGAAATCTATAAATAAACGAAGTACTTTGATAATAAAACAAAAACTCAGCAATAAAACAAAAATGGCTGGGCACGGTGGCCCATACCTGTAATCCCAACACTTTGGGAGGCCGAAGCGGATGGATCACTGAGGTCAGGAGTTCCAGACCAGCCTGGCGAAACCCTGTCTCTACGAAAAATACAAAAATTAGCTGGGCGTGGTGGCGCACGCCTGTAGTCCCAGCTAGTCAGAAGGCTAAGCCAGGAGAATCACTTGAACCCGGGAGGCAGAGGTTGCAGTGAGTCACAATCGCACCACTGCACTCCAGCCTGGGCGACAGAGCGAGACTCTGTCTCAAAACAAAACAAAACAAAAAACCTAACAAAAACAATAGCTACCATTTACTAGACACTCACTACACACCACGCACTGTGCCAAACAGCTCTTTCTTATCAGCTCAGGATGCTGGGGGTGCCAGGGAGGGAAGGTCAATGAACCTGTGACAGGTGTCTGTTAAGCAAAAGAAGGCTGGCCTCCGCGCAGCTGGGGGCAGACCTTCCCTCCTCCAACCCTCTTGGCCAGGAGTATCACAGGGCAGGCCTGAGCTTCCACAGGGTGACCCAGCCAGTCACCATGAGGCAGGCCCCAGGTGCCAGGCCACTCTGCAGAGGAGCCACTCAGGAGGTGACCTTCCCTATCTTGGCTGAAACGGGCACCTGGCGTGGAGGCCATGTCTGGAGCCAGACCCCTAGGAGAGCTCCAGGAGGCAGAGATGCCTGCGGGGTCAAAGCCTGCCAGCTGACTGCTGTGCCCTCCTCAGGACCCTGCTCCAGCAGCTGCAGAAACTCCAGACTCTGGTCACCAACAAGATCTCCAGACCTTACAAGATGGCCGCCACCCAGACTGGGACCTGCCTCATGGTAGGTGTGGCTCCCTCCACCACAGGCCCACAGGAGGAGAGTTCTTTCCAAGGCTGGCATTTTCCAGGGTTGGGCAGAGCTTTGAGGATCGGTAACATCATGGGCAGTATCACCAGGGTACACCATCCTGGCGCCTGGTGGGCCGGTTCTAGCTGACCCCAGCCTCCTTCTCCGAGCCCGTGGTGCCTTCTGCCTCACACCGGTCCCCGACTGGTTAACACAGTGTAGATGTGTAGGTGACTCCTGTGGCCCCAGCTAGGGGACAACTGGGCAGGTTCCTTGAGGAGGTGGCTTCCACAGGCTTTGTGCAGGGAACGGCTTGGGGAGACTCAGGGAAGTACGGACATGGTTCTTTCTGGAACGGATGGCAGTGAAAAGGCTGAGGAAACCCCTGGAAACCCGGAAGGCTCCAAGGGTGTGCTTCACTCCTCTTCCAGTCGCTCTTCCATCTTCTTCTGGAAATGGCCAGCCTCTTGCTGCCTAGCTCAGCAGGCCCCGGCCGTCTAAGACCCTTGAGCTGTCAGACGGCAGAGCCAGGCTATGGGCAGGGGTAGTGTGGGCTCCCTGGCTCTCAGCACCTCCCGCTAGCCAGACTCCCCAGAAGCCGGCTGAGAATGTGATGTGCTGATGTGTCCCCCTCCCTCGTCCCGGCCCCAAGCCCCGTCTGCACCTATTCCTTCCTTTCCTGATTCCTCTACCCCATAGAGTGACTCCACATTGGCCACTTCCCTCTTACTTCTAGCACTGCCTGTGGCGACCCCCCTACAATGGGCTGGGATGGCCTGAGCGGCCCCTGCCTTCCCCAGAGAGGATGGGAGACCCCACGTGTGGGAGGAAGTGGTCAGCTGGAGGAGCTGCTTCTTTGGGAAAACGCTGAGACTTTTGTGCCTGTTGGTTTGGGAGAGGAGGAGTGGGGTGGTCAGGGCCGCAGCCCCTCCTTGCCCCAGATCTGATGCCACTGTCTCTTTGCTACCAGGTGGCAGCCTTGTGCTTTGTTCTGGTGCTGGGCTCCCTCGTGCCCTGCCTTCCCGAGTTCTCCTCTGGCTCCCAGACTGTGAAGGAAGACCCCATGGCTGCAGACAGCATCTACACGGCCAGCCAGAGTGAGTGCCCACCTGTCATGCCAGCTCCCTGGTCTGGGGCTGCACTGCCCCAGCCCCAGTGTCCAGGCAGAAGCCAGACATAAGAGAGAAGCCAAGTGTGGGGTCGGCATTATCTCATTCTGCCTCATTTTCCAGATGGGGAAACTGAGGCCCAAAGAGAGTCTATGCTTTGCTCAGTGTTTGTGGTAGAATTGGGACTAAAATACAGAGCTCCCAATGCCCAGCCTAACTCCCAGAGAGCTTCAGGAGTGGCTTGCAGGAGGTGGGTTTAGGGGATAACAGGAATGTTCCAGCCCTGTGCCCCATGCATTATGGTGCTAGTGCTTGTGCGGCGTCTGCTAGGCACCATCAGTACCTCATGATAGGGACAGCAAGTGAGTTTCAGTTCAAAGGCCATTTCCAGTAAGGTGGTGGTAGCTGCCTGAAACACTGTGTTAAGAAGGACCCTGGGCTGGGCACGGTGGCTCACGCCTGTAATCCCAGCACTTTGGGAGGCCGAGGCAGGTGGATCACCTGAGATCAGGAGTTCGAGGCCAACCTGGCCAACATGGTGAAACCCCGTCTCTGCTAAAAATACAAAAATTATCTGTGCATGGTGGTGTGTGCCTGTAGCCTCGGCTACTTGAGAAGGGTGAGACAGGAGAATCGCTTGAACCTGGGAGGCAGAAGTTGCAGTGAACCAAGATCACGCCACTGCACTCTAGCCTGGGTGACAGAGTGAGACTCATCTCAAAAAAAAGAAGGACTCTGAGGCACCATTCAGAATTGACAGGAAGGAGTGTCATGGTCCATTGATAATGTCTACCGTGGACAGAGGAAGGGTAGTGGTGGTGTGGGTTCAGATATCTACCGTTTCCAAGGGGGATAGTAAAGTACAGTGGTTAGGAGCATGTGGATGTTAAGTCCGTCGTAACTGGCACTGCCACTTGCTGTGTAACCTGAGGCATGTGTCTTAATTCATTTCTTCATCTAGAAATGAAGAAATTGTCCTAAGCTTTCATTTCTTCATCTAGAAAATGGGAGTGGCAATTTTGCGCTTACTGAGCCATGGCTGTGAGACAGGGCATGAAACAGCAGTGTCTGTGCTTATGAAATGAGCACATTCAGTCTCTTTGAGCTCACGGAGGAGAGAATAGCTACATCACAGTAGCTGGCAAAAGGAGAACCAGGGGAGGGCCCAGCAAAGAAGAGTGTGGATTTCAGAGGGAGAGAATCCTTCAGGTGGACCCCCAGAGGAACTTCCTGGCTGTCCCTCATCACTTACCAGTCAGTCACTTACCAATTACCACGTGTCTGACAGGACAGGAGGAGGAAGAGGAAACAGATGGGAGGTCAGAGGAGGGAAGATTAAGGAGTGAGTTTCAAGAAGGAGGGATATAGCAGGGAGGATGGGCTAGACATTGAGGGCCTTGAGGGGAGGAAGCTGGTGTGGGGAGGGTTAGGGAAAAAGGAAGTAGAGACAGGGAGAGTGAAAGTTCCTCCCCGGACACGTGCAGGCTGAGGAGGAGAGAACAGGGTGGTCACTAAAGGTGGGTGGGCAGCAGCAATGCAAGGTCTGGAGAGCCATGTGTCTGCTTTTCCAAGGCCACAAAAGCCACTGGAGGGAAAGGAGTGGAAAGAGAGCTGGGGTTGATGGACAAAGCCACAGTGAGAGGAGGGAATGAATGAACCCCTTGGAGAGAAGGCAGTGTGGGTTTTAGGCGCAGGACCTGGGCTGGGTGGAGAGGAGGAGGACACATCCTAGCAGGCAGATGGCTTTGGAGCAGGCTGGTTTGCAGAGCTGGTGCATTGCACAGTTCCAGGGACCGCTACTCACACATACTATAAGGTCATGGCTGCAGAGCCGGAGGGGCGGCAGATCCCAGGGCCAGGCAGACCTGGGTTCGCATCCTCCTTTCAGGGAGGACAATTTCCCTGAGTGCCTAGAACTTCAGTTGCCTCCTCTGGAAAGTGGGGCTAAAG